CATGAACACGGCCACTCAATCTGCGAGACTGGCCGCGTTACACGAATGGTTGCGCAACACGTCCTCTCGAAACCAGCGTGGATTCATGTACGTGAACGCCCTTCTTTCGCTCCTGAACAACATGAGCCCGGGGCCCCGACCGCGAAAACAGCAACCCGACGCGGTGGCCCCAAGGCGCCCCCCAGCGGCCCGGCGAGCCCTGCCACGGCAGAGAAGCAGGCCGCGCAACGAGGGCCGCACGGCGCGGGGCCAATTCGGCATGGAAAACCGCGAGCGGGCGGCTTTTCTCAGAGAGTTCGCAGTACCCTTCTCCAACCTCCTCCTCCTCCTCCTCCTCCTCCTCCTCCTCCTCCTCGCCCTCCTCCTCCTCCTCCTCATCCGCCTGGTCCTCGTCCTTCTCATCCTCGTCCCCCTTCTCCTCCTCGGCCTCCTCCTCCTCCTCCTCGGCCTCCTCGGCCTCCTCGGCCTCCTCCTCCTCCTCCTCCACCTCCTCCTTGGCGCGGCCCGACGGAAGAAAGACGACCAAAAAAACCCAAAGCGTGCAACACAACCGGGCCCGGCCGCACATGTGCTTCCAGACCCCCCCTGCGCCTGGCCACTGCCGACCAGGACTTTTCCCGGACAGCTCGAGGAGAGCTGAGAGGGTCTCAGACGAGAAGCCGGCAGCGCAGGGTAGGCCCACTCGTGCCAGCTTCTGGCAGGACACCTTGCAGCAACTCCTCTGAGATTGCAACGTGTTCTGGCAAACGCTTCCTGACTGTTTCCCAGTACGGGTGCCGCGAAGCTTTCCAGAAGCTCATTCCCAGAGCTTCCAGAGCTCCTCCGAAGGACCTTCCCGAAGCTTCTGTCGCCTCGCTATCCGGAGTTTTGACACCACGTGTTGAATGTTCCGCCTCGGGAAAACGCAGAGCGTTAGGAGGCAACTCCTGGGAGGTCTTCGCAAGAACGATCCGAGGCTACGAAGCCCGATTCAAAGGGCCATGCAGCTTCATCGTGGACAGTGCCTCCCAGACGTTGCATCCTGACAAAGAGCGATCCGCCCACAGGATCGCCGAAACGGGCCGCCCGGAAGTCGGCCGAGGCGCCGAGCAAGGTCGAAAAGCCATGAGGGTGCACATCGACGACGCTCGGGCCGCCGAGGCTGGAGCTCGGACCTCTGTGAGGGAGCTGTGCGACTCGCTGTCTCGCTGGAGGAGGAGGAGGAGGAGGAGGAGGAGAAAGAGGAGGAGGAGGAGGAGGAGGAGGAGGAGGAGAGGAGAAGGAGGGGGAGGAGGAGGAGGAGGTTCGATCAGAGCAGCCCCAGGGGGGGGAAGAGACTCGCAAGTCTCACTCGGCGGGGTGCCCCTCGGAGGGGACATCTGCAAACCCAGGAGGAGGAGGAGAGGAGGAGAAGGAGGAGGAGGAGGAGGGGGAAGAGGAGGAGGAGAGGAGGAGGAGGAGGAGGAGGAGGAGGAGGAGGGGAGGAGGAGGCCTTCTCCTGCCCGACAGGAGGCCCGAGGCGCGCAGGCCTCCCGCGCGCGCGCTCTGGGAGAGGGCATTGGCGCGAGGGGACTGGCTTCCTGAGGCGGCGGGGGGGGGGGGCCTCAGGAGGAGGAGGAGGAGGAGGAGGAGGAGGAGGGAGAAGGAGGAGAGGAGGGAGGAGGAGGAGGAGGAGGAGGAGGAGGAGGAGGGAGGAGGAGGAGGAGGGAGGAGGAGAGGAGGAGGAGGGAGGAGGAGGAGGAGGAGGAGGAGGAGAGAGGAGGAGGAGGAGGAGGGGCTCCCAGAGGGCATGGGCCTTCTCGGGGGGGCCCGGAAGCTTCTGCGAGAAGGCCTCTCTCAGAGGCCAGGAGGACCTCTGAGAGGGCCCCTGCCCTCCATCGGCGACTCCAGAGGGTGTGGCTTGCAACCGGCACCCTGGGGAACATCCTGGGGGGCACCCAAAGGGGGCGCGCGGGGACCTCGATGGAGTTCTCCCGCGCCCGTGGGAGGCCTGACGAGGACAGCGTTGTGCCTCTCAAGCCCCAACGGTGCCGATCGCAGACCACACCCCGGCGTAGTCGTACCCTTTGTAGTCGCCGGCTCCAGCACGGCCGCCGCGCTCCTCTCAGGAGCTCCCCCACCCATTCGCGCGACCCCCGTGTGCGTGCCAGCCCGTCTTGGAAGGCCAGCCGCCTCGCGCTGGGCCCCCTCGTGTGCGCCGCCGAGTCCCTGGTGGCTCCTGGAGCAGCGCAGGCGACGACCGACCACGACCACGATCACGAGCGCGACAGCGAGCGACGATAACGATCACGAGAGTAATCCTGGGATCCATCCTGGCAAATTGTTCGTCGTCCCCAAATCGATGTTTCGCGTTTCACGGTACCGGGGCACAGAACGACCCCCAGGGTCGAAAGAAAATGATTGAGGGAGCGATGCTTTCGTATGTATATAGCATATAGAGGGAGAGGGAGGGAGCGATATAAAGAGAGACAGAGAGAGAGAACGAGCGAGAGTGAGAGAGCGAGACACACAGCTATACGTGCATACGAATACATAGTATGTGGTTGCGTGTGCACGCACCACAACCCACGGCGGGGGGCGAAGATGCAGAGAAGTCGAGTCATTGTGGCGACTCGAAGAAAACGGTATCCAGCTCTCATCAACCACCCGCCAATGAGCCGTGGCGACGCGAGCGTGCGGGCCATGATGTCGACCCTCGTCGACCAGGATCTTCGAGAGCCTCTTGAAGTCTCCGAGTGTCCGCGGGCGTCCTTGGAAGCCTCCATAAGGGAAAATGTATAAGACTAACATAGCTGCAAGGGAAGAGAAGAAAGAACAGAAGGAGGAGAAGGAGGAGGAGGACGACGACGAGGAGGAAGAAGAGAGGGACGACGACATACTCGGTCGAGGGGGAGGGAGGGGGAGGGAGGGGGAGGGAGGAGGAGGCGGAGGCGGAGGAGGGAGGGAGGAGGAGGCGGAGGAGGAAGGAGGAGGAAAGAGGAGAGGGGAGGAGGAGGAGGGGGATAGAGCTAGGGGGAGGCTCACTGACGAAGCTTCCAGGCCTGAGAGCGGGCGTACAACCATAAGACAGACCTTCGGGGTTGAAAGGTCTACCTATGGGGAAACACCCTTTACCTGGGGAAAGCCCGACTCGCCCGCATATGATGAAGTAGGATAGCGAGGTCAGGCCCTTTCGATGAGAGGGCGGAGAAGGAGGAGGAGGAATGACATGTCGAACCTCGATCCTAACATGCCTCGAGCCTGTCCCTGTCCCTAAGACTGACAAGCTTGAGGCGGTTCCGCAGTATCAGAGGTGCTGGGGGAATCCTTCCGATCGGCACCGAGATCTCCTCTTGGTGCCGATCTCGGGGCCTTCACGGTGGGCATCACCTCACGGATAAGGTGATGCCAACCGTCACGGCCCCGAGAGCCGACGCCACGGACACAAACTGCAGCACCCCGGGATCATCCCGGCGAGGCCCCGCAGCTTGCTGCAGCGTGTCTCGAGCCGGGTCGCTCCGTGAGGGTCCTCGGGCCCGTGCGACGCGTAATCGCCCGTGGCAGACACCACCGACGCCAGGATCTCAATAGATACGGACCGGTTTCAGGACGGATCCTCGACGGCCGAGGACGCGCGAGCAGCCAGGCAGAAGCGCCAGCGCCTCGGCGGCCGCGGAGCTCTGACACCAGCGCCCCGCCAACGCATTCGCACCCATACGCCATCGGGGACGAGGTAGAGGTCCAGAATAAAATCCGAGACGCATCAACGATGTTGCAATAAACACTCCCTCCAAATTCCCTCTTCGTAGGTCCCTATGGGGAACTATGTTCATTGCGGGAAGCACAGCATTGGAAGGCAACCGCCAGAGAATCCTCAATCGTGCCAGAACGTCGTTCCTGGTTCTTCAGCCACGCGAATCAATGTGACGGTTGCGCCCCGACAACCCAAAAACTATGCCAGAACACCCTTCATGGGACTTCAGCCATGTGAACTTCGAGAGGGCTGCAAACTTGAAATAACGAATGCGCGCGCCGCTGAAGCGAGAACCACATCTTGAAAAGGGCCCGTCCTGTATCCATGAAGCCCTTGCAAACGTCTAAACTCAATGTGCGCGGCGTGGGGAGACGAGAGCCACATTTTGAGCACGGGCCGCCATCCGTCCCAGCTAAACGGCCGCACACCTCTGAGACCCAGCGTGTGCGCGGCGCCGCAGCGAGAGAGACGCATCTTGGAATTGAAACCGGCCCGCCCTGCATCCTCGAGGCCGCTGCAGACCTTTGGCACGCGGGTGCGCGGCGCTGCAGCGAGAGCCTCACACGTCGAGAGCGGCCCGCCCTGCACCCCGGAGGCTGCTGCAGATTGCCAGTTCTCAGGGTCAAAGGTGGTGGGGAAGTCTTGGGCGAAGCGCCAAGTCCGCACTGCCGACATGTGCGGGGGTACGACAGGGGAGAGGAGGAGGAGGAGGAGGAGGAGGAGGAGGAGGAGGAGGAGGAGGAGGAGGAGGAGGATTAAGAGGAGGAGGAGGGGGACGGGGAGGAGAAGGAGGAGGAGGAGGACGAGGAGGGAGGAGGGGGAGGGGAGGGAAGAGGGAAAGGAGGGGCAAGCAGGGAGAAACAAGGAGGAAGGAGGGAGGCAGGAGGAGGGGGAGGAGGAGGAGGGGAGGGAGGGAGGGAGGGACGGACGGACGAGGAGAAGGCTCAGAAACTCGTACCTCGACCCTCGACGGCCTGAGGTATCGCCTCCTTCCCCAGGGAAGGCTTTTCATCTTGAGTCGCGTTTGATGGTCCCGGGGCTCGGCGAGGGCCCCTGGAGGCCCAAAATGGTCCGTGGCGATTTTGGCACACCGGAAAAAAACGCTTTTCGCTTCCGGGTCATCGCTCGGCTTTCCACCGGCCGCTCGGGACGACACGGGCACCCCCGGAGCGCCCTCGGCGAGGCGAAACTGCTGGAGAGCATCTCCCGAAGCTGGAAAGCCGCCGGAAACCGACGACAACGCCAGAAAACCTCGAGCCCCGAAACCTCAAACCCCCGTCGCGATTGGTCACAGCGAAGACACGTCTGGGACCTTCGACGGCCGACGACCTACGAGCAGCGCGGGCCGGCGCGCCAGCGTCTCGGCGGCGGCGGAGCCCGCCAGGCGGCCGAAGAGCTCGGGCTGGTGCCGCGGGCCCACCGGGTGCGGGGAGCCGGCCGCGACTCTGGCGAAGAGGCAGCGGTCCTCGGGGGGGAGGACGAGGACGAGGAGGAGGAGGGCAGGAAGAGACGAGGAGGATGGAAGGAGGAGACCAGGAATTTGACCTGGGGATATGAACACAGATACCGATGTGTATGTGTATATCCGCCGACCCCAGAGGCGTGTGCGATATCCTTCTGAGCTGGATACCACACCCGACAATTTTTCGCCCCGTCTGGCATTCTCACCCCGAGAGAACTACCTTCTTGGGACCCTCCACTCGACAAATTCTGGCCCAGAACCTGCCCACGCCCCCCACCTGGCCCCTCCCTGGTCTGGCATTCTCACCCCGAGAGCACTCTGTTCTTGGGGCCCCCCACTCGACAAATTCGGGCCCAGAACCTACCCACGCCCCCCACCTGGCCCCTCCCTCGTCTGGCATTCTCACCCCGAGAGCACTCTGTTCTTGGCCCCCCCCACTCGACAAATTCTGGCCCAAAACCTACCCACGCTCCACACTTGGCACCTTCCTGGTCTGCCATTCTGACCCCGAGAGAACTCTGTTCTTGAGCACCCCCACTCGACAACTTCTGGGCCAGATCCTACCCACGCCCCCAACCTGGCCCCTCCCTCGTCTGGCATTCTCACCCCGAGAGCAATCTGTTCTTGGGGCCCCCCACTCGACAAATTCTGGCCCAAAACCTACCCACGCCCCCCACCTGGCCCCTCCCTCGTCTGGCATTCTCACCCCGAGAGCACTGTGTTCTTGGGGCCCCCCACTCGACAACTTCTGGCCCAAAACCTACCCACGCCCCCCACCTGGCCCCTCCCTGGTCTCGTCTGTCATTCTCCCCACG